AAGATGAAGATTCGATCATTTTAAGGCAAAACCAATCATGAAGCTTGCCTTCAGTAGAAAATAAGATGGAATTTGTGTTTGTGAAGAAAGAGGAGAAACAGGCCATGGTCAACCCCAAAATCGAGCAAAAGCAAGGAATAACTAGCCATGGAAATGAAGGTAAACCCAATTCTTCAACCACTCAAAATCGTGATATTAAGTGTTTTAAATGCCAAGGCAGAGGTCACATAGCGAGCCAATGTCTGAACAAAAGAGTTATGGTATTACGAAATGATGGTGAAGTTGAGACCGAGGGTGAAGAAGACATCGAATCTATGCCGCCATTGGAGGATGTGGATAATGAGGAATACACTGCCCAAGTAGAATTGTTGGTCACGAGGAGAGCTCTAAGTGTGGAAGTCAAGGAATATGACAAAGTGCATCGAGAAAACATCTTTCATACTAGATACCATGTGCAAAATAAGGTATGTAGTGTGATTGTTGACAGAGGAAGTTGTACTAATGTTACTAGCACTACAATGATTGATAAATTAGGGCTGCTTACGATTAAACATTCTCGGCCTTACAAGTTTCAATGGCTCAATGATAGTGGGGAGGTGAGGGTGAACAAATAGTTGTTAGTTTCCTTCCGCATTGGAACATATGAAGATGAAGTTTTGTGTGATGTAGTTCCGATGCAAGCTGGACAATTGTTACTAGGCCGGCCATGGCAATTTGATCGGCGTGTTAAGCATGATGGCTTCTCCAACAAATACTCGTTTGTGTTTGATCAAACGACCAGAATCGTAGTTTCGTTGACACCAAAGCAGGTTTATGAAGATCAAGTGAGGTTACAAAAAGAGGTTGATCAAAGGAAAGAGAGTGAGAAAAAGAAAACAAGTGAAAACCTAAAGAGAGAAACATGAGAGATCGAGAAAATTCAGAGAGATGACAAGAGAGCAGATTTGGCCATTGAGAGAAAAACAACTTTCTATGCAAAAGCGACTGAAATAGAAAGAGTGATGTTTTCAAATCAGCCAATGATGGTACTTTTGTACAAAGAGGCATTGAACACTAACAAGCTTGATACATCTTTGCCTAGATCCATTGTTTCTCCTTTGCAGGAGCTTGATGATGTCTTCCCCGAGGAGATTCCACATGGTTTACCCCCTATTCGAGGGATTGAACATCAAATCGATTTCATGCCTGGTGACTCTATTGCATCACCGCACCACTTACTGAAGTAATAAAGAAGAATGTTGGTTTCAAATGGGGAGACAAGCATGAAAAGGCATTCCAATTAATCAAGGAAAAATTAAATCATGCTCCTTTGCTTGCTTTACCTGATTTTAATAACACATTCGAAAATAAATGTGATGCTTCAGGTATGGGTATAGGTGCAATTCTCAAGCAAGGAGACCAATTGCATATTTCAGTGAGAAGTTAAGCAGGGTAGCCTTAAACTACCCTACTTACGACAAGGAATTGTATGCATTGGTTTGAGCATTGGAAACATGGGAACACTACCATTGGCCTAAGGAGTTCATGATTCACACCGATCATGAATCCTTGAAAGATTTGAAGGGCCAAGACAAGTTGAAGGGGAGACATGCACGATGGGTGGAATTCATTGAGACATTTTCATATGTCATCCGGTACAAGCAAGGTAAGGAAAATGTTGTAGCAGATGTACTTTCTCGAAAGTACGTATTAATCTCTTCTCATGATGCAAAATTACTTGGTTTTGAGAGCATTAAAGAACTGTACCCTTTGGACCACGATTTTTGTGAAGAGTTTCGAACTTGTGAGAAAAATGCAATAGGTAAGTTCTTTAGGCATGAGGGTTTCTTGTTTCAGGAGAACAAGGAGAACAAGTTGTGTGTGCTGAATTGCTCTTTGTGAGTGTTATTAGTCAGGGAATCCCATGGTGGAGGTTTAGTGGGACACTTTGGAGTTGCTAAGACCTTAGCCGTTTTGCATGAAAATTTCTATTGTCCAGACATGAAAAGGGACCTTGAGAGAATTTGTGGTAGATGTGTCACATGTAGGCAAGCGAAATCCCAAGTGCAACCCCATGGTTTATACACTCCACTGCCCATTCCTAGTGAACCTTGGATCGATATTTCAATGGATTTTTTGTTAGGTTTACCTAGATCTAAATGTGGCCGAGACTCAATTTTTGTGGTTGTGGATAGATTTTCTAAGATGGCACATTTTATTCCTTGTCATAAAATCAATAATGCTTCCCACATTGCTGATTTGTTCTTTAGAGAAATTGTAAGGTTACATGGTATGCCTAGGACAATAGTTTCGGATAGAGATGCTAAGTTCTTGAGTTACTTTTGGAAGACTTTGTGGTATAAGTTACGAATTAACCTATTATTTTCTACTACTTGTCACCCACAAATTGATGGTCAAACTGAAGTAGTGAATAGGACTTTGTCTACTTTGTTGAGGGTTATTATTAAAAAGAACATCAAAACTTGGTAGGGTGTCTGCCACACGTTGAGTTTGCTTATCGTATTGTTCATTATGCTACTGAATTTTCACCATTTGAAATTGTTCATGGTTTAAACCTTTTATTCCATTAGATTTAACTGGTTTACACTTGACTGAACGTGCTTATTTGGACGGAAAGAAAAAGGCTGAATTTGTTAGGCAGATGCATGAGAAGGCAAGACTCAACATTGAGAGGAAGAACTTCAGTATGCAAAACAAGCTAACAAAGGGTGACGAAAGCTTCATTTTCTGCTTATTGTTTGAGTTCACTTGGTTTGTGCATTCGCAAAACAGAAGGGCTTTATCAAGACCTAAGTTGTCTAAGGAGAGCTTAGGACTTAAGGAGTGCTCATGACCCCATCCTCACCTAGAACACACTAAGACGAGCATTATTTAAGCCAATAAAATGAAAATAATATTTCACACTCACTCTAAATTTAATAAGATTTCCAAACTTCATTCTTCAAAAACTTTTAAGAATTTTTTATTTTTGAAACCTTTATGTTAAGAATCCCAATCTTACGAAAGTTTCATTTCTAGAAACCCTAATTAAAAAAAAAAAAAAAAACAAAAACAAAATTGTTTCCAGGTTTCCATCACTGTCCATCTATTTTTCCAATCTCTAAGTCACATACCCTTAACCATATGCTTAGTTTCCAAATTTTACCACAATTATATAACATGTGTGTAAAGGTAATCATGCCCTAATGTTGCCACAAGTGAAGGGTCTGCAGCTTAATTAAGTCCTTTTTATGGCACATTGAATCAAGTAGCTTAATGTGACAATCTAGCTTTCATTACTTATCATACCTAATTATTTCCACACCTATGATCCTCATATGAGAAATTCAAAGTGATACATATACATTCCTTTCAAGGTATAACATATGATTCTAAGTTGTATTACTAAAATCCAGCAACCATTAATTTCTGTCCATATTGAGTTAGCTCAATTTTTCGCAACCAATTACCTTATTTTGTAATCATTAAATCATCAACACACCCCAACATGATCTCATTCAAGTCCAGAGGTTCAAGAAGTTATAAAATCCTCAAAAACAATGAAGACAAATCTCAAAACAGTGAACTAAATCAGCTGCCTAGAGCTTCCAATTCTAGGATTGGTTTTTATTTTCTTTTTGGACCTTTTGCTTTCTTTTTCACTTGGAATCAACTGGGGATGAGATGAAGGATTTAATATCTTATATAGGAGATAGATGCAAAGTTTTTAAGGAGCTTGAGTCGTGCATAATGCTTAGGAATGGAGAAATTGAATATAAAAGGACAAGTAGCATCAAGCATGTGGTATTTTTGTCGGTAAAAAAAAGAAGAAAAAACTGATTTTACACCCATCATTGCAGTAGAAAATCAAGTGTATTTTACCTATAGTAGTGTGTCTACGACCTAATTTAATTACCAAAGGATCCCAAAATAATTTATAAAGTTAATTCCTTAACCGTCATTAGATTCTTTACTTGGTTTGCACCCGATTCTTCAATGACTTCAACAATTTGCACCACAATATATTTAAATATCACTCACTTAATGCTCATGTCCCAATTATTCAAAGATTTAGTTAGGGTTTAGGGTAACCATGATTAACCGAACTAATAGCAAGTAGCTTTACCGATAATGATTTCGACACTTTCAAGATCACAATCATTTACCACATGGAACATCTAGATTAACCAAAATTTCTACCATAGCTCAATGTAAGATTCACTACCTAGGTCGGGAGGTCAAAGACTAACACTATATAGAAATCTTTAAACTTCAATTACCCAATGCACTGTTATAAGAGAAAACCATTTCAAACTATTGATGCAAATGCAATGGCAATGTTAGCAAGTATTACATCCTTCCCTTATAAAAAATTTGTAGGAATTTGCTTACCAAAAAAGTCAGGATATTTAACCCACATTTCATCTTCCCTTCCTAAGTGCCTTCTTCTACTGACTGATTCTACTACAATACCTTAACCAATGAAATTTTCTTGCTTCTAAGTTGCTTTACCTCTCACTGAAGATCTCTACCGGTATTTCTTCATAAGTCAAATCTAGTTTTATCTCCATTGTTTCATTCTTCAACATGTGTAGGATTTGCAATGTATTTTCTTAGCTTAGACACGTGAAACACATTGTGCACTTTGGACATTGATGAAGGAAGATCAAGCTTATAAGCAATGTTTTCAATTCTCTCGATAATAGAAAATGGACAAACACATCTCGGGCTCAATTTTCCTTTCTTTTCAAATCGCATAACCTCTTTCATTGGTGCTACCTTCAAAAATACTTGGTCTGTGACTATGAATTCTAGCATTCCTCTTCTTTCATTTGCATAACATTTCTGCCGGACTTGATGGGATGTCCAAAATTTTTTGATGGGATACCTTTGGGAGCGCTACTTATTTTGGAATTATCATTAAATTTTGACTTAAATGAAATCGTATAATTGTTCAGGAGCTGGATGGGGAGGAAGCAAGACTTGCAGATTACTTCGATGTTATTGCTGGAATGAGCAACGGTGGCCTTGTATCAGCCATGTTGACTGCTCCCGATGAAAACAATCATCCCCTTTATGCTGCTAAAGATATCAAGCCTTTCTATTTAGAGAATTGCCCAAAAATCGTTCCACAGATGAAGTAATCTTATTTTCTTTCTTCTTAATATATAGAGTAAATGAAAACACTACAAAGAGGCAGGCATATCAAACTCAAGAAACAGTATATTTTTCAAATTTACACTACCTAATAGTATGACTGGTGTTTAGATTTAAATATGACGATGAGATTTTGATTGATCACTGCAGTGCTTTTGGGAAAATTGGAAGGCTTTTCAAAGCATTGATAGGTCCCTTGTACAATGGAAAGCACCTCCATAATGTATTGAAAGAAAAACTGAAAAATATTAGGTTGTCCGACACTCTTACAAATGTTGTTATTCCAGCTTTCGACATCGAGATTTTACAGCCAGTGATTTTCTCTTCCTATGAGGTCTACCCAGTCTTTAATTCTTTATGTTAATATCTTCATGATCTTATGTGTGATATTATATATATAGGTTTAGCCCGATTCAAAGTTCTAAGGGGGCATTTGGCAGGGATTCTATTTTGCATCCACAACTTCAGCCATTTTACAAACCATATATGGTCCTAACAATTTCGTTTTTTCAATCTCATCCCAATAAACTAGAGATCTATATATTCTACCATATAACATTCTTCATAAGGATCCATTGCAATTGTTGTATGCAAATTCCATCAACGGCAAAACCTTATTCCATTAACCCTAGAACTCCAACACACAAGCCTCAACATGTCTTCTAATATTTGTATTGTCCTTTCTGATGACATGTCCATCAGTCTGAGGACGATATGCTATGTTAAAAGATAATTATGTTCCCAAAGCCATATATAAGCTTTTTCAAAAGAAAGAAAAGAACTTAGAATCTCCGTTAGAAACTGGAGGTCAATAGCCTAAAATCTTGTCAAAAATGTAGATCAACGATTTGAGAAATGTGAAAATGGAGTGTATAACACTTGAAGCCGTTTACTAAAAAAAAAAGATTGGAAGCCAGTCGGATAATAATGTTGCAGCACTATATAAAACAAGATTCTATGCTACTCCTGAATCAAAGAAGTGAAATTTTCTTTGATCTATGCTTTCGTAGGAGTGATAACTGTGCGGTAGTATAGTTCATTTTCGGAACACATTTTTTCAAACTTTTCCTAGAAATACATTTTTTAGAACTCTTGTTAAGGTATCTTTTTATATAATTTCGTTATAATTAGGGTTTTGCCGATTTCCTATAAATAGGATTCATTATTTTTATTGTAAAATCAACACATTATTATTGATAGATTTTAAACAAGATTGCTTTCTTCTTGTCCTTCATTGAACTTAAATTCGAACTTATCAAAGATTTTATCTTTGTGGCATTTACCAAATTCATAGTAGAATTCTTAGTTTTTGTAATTAAGGGGTCAAGTTCTTCCGTAATTTTGGTTCCATGATTCAATAAATACTTGGGTCAAATTTCAAACCGAAATTTTAGCTTTCTTCGCTTTGTGATTCAATCTTGTATGGGTTTTGGAGCTACTATCTTTGAATCTAAAATCAAGGTTATCTATCTTTCCACATTTTCTTCATCATCTTCTTGAGTTGTTTACAAATTCCTGAATAATCTAGACTCTTCTTTCATTTTTGTGTAATTTTGATGCTATTTATTTATTTATTTATTATTATTAATATTATTTTTACACATCGGTTTTAACTCATTTTGTTTTCTTTATAATCTTCACATGAATGGAAATTAATTTGACGAGTTCATCATTTGTAAACCAGTGTCCTTCTCGGTTTTATAGTAAGAAATGGATTTTCATTTTACTTTGTGAAATGACAACCTGAAATGTTCCGTACTTATACATATTTAACCAAAATTTTGTCATGGCTCACTCCACTCCCCATTTCACTACTCACTGTATTCTAGAATATTCTATAGCCTAGTCTTCAAATTGAGCACATGGAGGGAGGAAAAAGGAGTGAAAAGATTGATAGCTTTGGTGCAAAACAGAATCCCCCCCCCCTTTGGAATCTCTATCTCTGTTCTATCTTCATTTTTTGAATCTGTTTCTGTTTCTCTAAATCAGAATTCTCTTCTTCCTTCTCTGAATCTGTGTAACTTTGAATTAATTTTAAACCTCTTAATGTTTAAAATGATTATTTAAAATTATATACTTCCAAATTTGTAAAGGTCAAAGATTACACAAAAATAATGAAATGTAAACTACAAGGGGACAGATTCAAAGAAAGAAGAAGAGAATTTAGATATAGAGAAACAGAAACAGATTCAAAAAATAAAGATAGAACAGAGATAGAGATTCCAAAGGGAGGGATCCTGTTTTGCACCAAAGCTTGATCTTTTCATCCTTTTTCCTCTCTCCATGTGCTCAATTTATAGAGTAGGCCATAGAATAGTCTAGAATACAGTTAGTAGTGAAATGGCAAATGGAGTGAGCCATGACAAAATTTTGGTTAAATTTGCATAAGTACGGAACATTTCTAGTCGTTATTTGACAAAGTAAAATAAAATCCATTTCTTACTTTAAAACCTAGGACATTGGTTTACAAACGATGAACTCATCAAATTCATTTCAATTACGTGAAGATTATGAAGAAAAAAAAAAGTTAAAACCCATGTGTAAAAAAAAAAAAAAATAGCATCAAAATCACACGAAAATGAAAGACGAGTCTAGATTACTCAGGAGAATGTGCTAAGAATTGAATCTTTTGGGAATTGGGATAACAAATACTTTAGATGCTTGGGATTTGGGTACATTGCTTCTCAATGTCCAAACAAAAGGGCAATGATCTTGCATGATAATGGGAAAGTAGTGAGTGATGAGATGCCCCAAACTAGAGAATGCTATTGATTGTTATGGAGTAGAGTACCCGGTTGTGGAAGAAACACTTGTCGTGATGTGTGCTCTCAATACACAAATCAATATGGATGACATGGAGCAAAAAAGGGAGAACAAGATCATACAAGTTGTCATATCAACAATAAAGTATGTAGTTTGACTGCTGATAGGGGTAGTTATACCAAAGTGGCTGGCACTACTAAATTGCACTAGTTGAATTTAGAGATGTTAGGTTAAAAGCAAGTCTTGGTGAGCTTTACAATTGGAAAGTATAGTGTTGAGGTGACATAGTTCCTATGCATGCTGGGCACATTTTGTTCGGAAAGGTCATGGCAGTATGACGGAAAGGTGAAACGATTTGAGGATAGCTACAACTCTATAAAAGATGGGAGAGCTTTTACTCTCGTAGCATTAACACCAACGTTGGTCTATGAGGACCAATTGAAATTGAAAGTTGAGGAAGAACAGAAAAACAAAGAGAGGCGAAAGGAGAGGAGTAAAGATAGGGTGGTGGCTAATTGTGAGAATAAGAAAAGTAGAGCTACAAGAGAGAAAAGAAAGAAAATCTTCTAAGAAGATAGAAAAATCAAAAGGGAGCTTCTATGAAAAAAAGCGTAAAATTGAGAGGACTTTAGTCAGAACTAATAAACCCCTCCCCAATTTGGATAATTGTTTATAGGCTTTCAAAGACTTGGTCCGAGACTTAATCAGTCAGATACAACCAATTTAATAACCAGTTGATTTGTTGCAAGTGGAGAATTTGATGAGCATTGAAGGAGAAGCATTCAACTATGACATGGTAAAATATCAGTTCCCCATAGGTTAGATGATGGGCTAGCATGTAGGAATAGTTTTTCACATGGGCATGTACTTTTAGACACGTTAATGTATATAATATGAGAGTAATAAATCATTTGTCACATGCAGTCATAGGCAATCGATTGTTTACTAGTTTACGATATTCGAGTATGTTGTGAGAGAAATTAATTCACCATGAGTTGGGGTGCATTGTTGGTGATTTGAACCATGAGGATCTATATTTAAATCTTAAGTCCTTAAATGTTTTGGTTCGAATTAATGGAATATGTCGGAATTAATTTAGTATCCTCTAGAACTTCTACTACACGTTTTGATATGGTTTATGGCTCACTTTGTTTGGTTTAATTCTTTTAACTATTATTGTAAGTGGTAGTTTAGCAAATTTTATGCATCTCTAGGTAGCCAAAGGAAGAGGCTTTTGCTATTCGAACCAAGTGATTGGGTTTGGTTGCTAAGGCAAAAAAGGCATTTTCAAATGCCAAGAAGGTCAAGGTTTCATCCGAGAGAAGATGGACCATTCTATGCCAAAGCAAGTATTGATAACAATGGTTACAAATTGGATCTTTAAAGTGAGTTTGTGATAATTTACATTTTTTTTCGATGTTCCCTATCTTTCTCTTTTTGATGCAGGTATAGATTCGAGGTCAGATCCTTTTGAAAAGGAAAGGAATGATACTATCCAAGGAAAGCCACAATCATACAAAGTTCAGCTCAAACTTGAAGAGGAACCAATGACGAGATCGCAAGTAAATAGGATCAATGAAGCCATGCATTTACTTGTACTAGCTATGAAGGACAAGAGTTTGAGGTTAACAAGTCAAACACCAAGTTTCATGTTGGGCATGAAGACCAAGCCAAGTTGAATGCATTGGAATCAAGAAAATAAAATTAGATGTAGCATAGTATAAAATAGGATCCTATAGCATGTACTACACTCGAAACAAAAATTGAAATTTTGTTTGTTCTATGCTGTCACGGGAGTTATACTATGTGGTAACATAACATTTTCAAAACAGGTTTCAGAATTTTCTAGAAGTCTATTTTTTGTAGAACTTTTTTTATGTTATCTTTTTAATATAATTCCTTTTTAATTAGGTTTTTACAGGTTCCCTATAAATAGGATTCATTCTTTTAATTATAAAAACAACACACAATTGAGAGACTAAATCAAAGCAAGGTATTCTTCATGTTTTTCATTGACTTAATTTTAAATTTGTCAAAGACTTTAATCTTGGCAGCATTCAACAAATTCATAGAAATGTTTATAGTTTTTATAATTAAGGGCTCAAGTTCTTCTAGAACTCTGTTTTGTTGATTTAAAAAATAATTGGGTCAAGATTGAATTGGGGATTCTAACTTTCTTGGGGTTGTGAATTAAAATTCTATGGATTTCGAAGCTACAATTGCCATGTGGGTTCACACCAAAAACCAAAAAGGAAATTCATTAAAATTATGAAATTATCAACAAAAACAATAAGCTAATATTTATTCTCTATAATTATAGCATATACATGAATTATTTTTTTAGCTAACCATAAAATGTATCAATCATTTTTCTGTGGTGTGAAGTCCTCGGGATAAGCTCCCTATGTGCCAACCTAAGCCAAAAATGTTGTATTTCCTTTAAGCTTTCTGCGATTCTTTACCATGAAGACCTTGCCAACCTTTATGATTATTCTCCCACTAATATGAATGATGAGAAAAAGGTAGAAGATAGTAATAAATTTTCAATTTCAGCTCTTTCTATATTAATGAAATTGCAAAGCACAATAAGTATACAAAAGCTTGTAACCTAAAGCCCCTGTTTGATTCCCATTAAATTACATTACATAACATTCTATTTTTCTCTCTCTTATTTTCAACCGCACAATATTCCATAAAATAATATTACATGTAAATCGAA